GTCGTATTGGATGGAAAGTCATGTAGTGTTGGGAGAGAAACTAAGGAATAGTTCTGTGCGACACCTACTAGAGGGGACGAAAATGAAGCATCGATTTCCGCTGTTAGGTGGTAATGCGCAAAACCCATATCCCTATTTCATAAACGACAAAGGACACTTAATACCGTAAATCTTTTATGCCTTGGACACGTACTGTCTTCAATCTTGGTCTAGGAGGGTGGTAGATTGACCGGAAGTAAAAGTTCAATCGCATTAGATTCAGTGAGTGGAGTAGTTAGCAACTATCATATCCCAAAACACACTGAAGGCGGTAGACAAGTATCGTCAGTGAGCGTGTCAGTGTATCTTTTCGGTATGCCTTTGACCATACAAACGGCAACAGATGAGGATGTAAATGTAAGGATATTTCACAAAGAAAATTCATGAAGTACTTCCGACTCCAGCTCACCTGACTGAACACAATGTATACTGAGTAAACCAGGTAGAATTTAAAGCCCATTGTATGGTATCTATCAGATCCACCCTGAAGAATGATGACCAGTTGAATAAGATGCAGTAAGAAGACAAAGGCAGCGGACTGTCGACATTTCGCTTTTATCTCTTCATCCGCAATACTAAAAAAAACTTCAGCTATACACCACAAATAGGGAAAAATACCATTAAAACGGTGGAACGGGGTCAGTCGTATGGTGGGCCAATCAGGTCCGTCTCTTAAGACCGACTCAAGCTGGTGGCATGTGTCAACGTAAAAGCTAACAATTTCGAGTCGACATTGTTGAGCCAAATACGGAACGTTGTACTGCGGTCAGGTGGGTATGTAGTGGGTAGAATGTCAGGCGATCGATTAGGCTGGCTTTCGGGTCTCGGCCTACGAGACATAGGTTCGTCAGTTGATCACCCGACTCAAATAACGAGACGCGCTCCCAGAAGCTCTGTTCTGTTAATGTATATTTCACCGCCACTGCATATGAACTAATACGCAGCGAGGTAGAAAGATTGGGTACAATAGACAGCATACATCGGAGATTGACTTGTTTCGTTGGTGCGAGCGGTATTAGTTGAGCGGCTGGGTATGGATGCGTCGTACGGACGTAAACTGCATTCTGCTAAAAAAACCTTCCTTTTTCTACTGAACAGTCAGGCTCCCGCTTAGACCGTGGGATGCTGTGGATGTTGGTAAATTTCTCTGGGTGACTTTTAAAGATCAGCGTTCTTTTTAAAAGCTCTTCTTCCTAACAAACAAACCCTGGTGAATTAGTTCACTAATGCCCTCTTCTAAGCCCGAAACCCTAATCAGACCCAACTTGCTGACCGAGTGATGGTGGTGGAGGAAGCTTGAGGACGGAGGTACCCCAAGTCAAAACGAGTGTGACTGCGGATATCTAAGGCGATTGGGATAACAACGCGCATCGTCTAGGTAGATTGGATCTTCAGCTTTAGTCGTCTGCAGACTGCACTGATGGCTAGTCGCTTCTTGACCACAATCAATAGCACCGTCGAGATCAGTCCATAAGAGCACAACTGAAATGGATCCCGTCATGTTTCTAACGGTAATCCAGCGCTGTGGATGCAGAGAAAGTATTACTGCGATGCATTTGCCCTTGGATTATCCATTAATCAAGGATTTATTTCAAGGCTGCCCATTCAGTCTTATGACGAGCTGAGCGCATTGTCAGTTTGATTTGACTGCTAATTCGTCACATTACAGACCTCGGCAGTGTCGTGTACCACATTCTGCACCTCTGTAATTTCCGCGCTGACTTCACTATGCACGTGTCAGAAGCCAATCAAATAGGTATCGTGCCTACAGAGTTCGCGTGTCCAGGTTCTTTGTCTACGCGTCTACAAAACAGGCGTATGCTGTCTGCGACGCTGGACTTACTTTCTTCCATCCGGCGATCCACGACAACTTGCACACGGATTTAAGTTTGGAACACGTCAAAATCGTTTTGTCCGTAGATCGGTGCAGGCTGTCAATAGGATGCCCAGCTAGGACTTAACCCTGGCTGATGCATGTGGGCGCAGCTTTGACCGAGTGTGCATAGTTGTTGAAACCGTTTGTCTGCCTATCTATCTAAGTCGATCACACAATGTACGTTTGTCTCGTAACCCTAGGGTGACTTAGCTACAGCCCCCATTGTTCTCATCCCCACCCCCACCACTGCCCCAGGCGTGTTCGCTTAGACTGCCTGCTCTCGTGCCCAGCACACGTTTCAGAACTGGTAACATTTGCACGGGTTTTGGGTCACGCGCACGACAAACCGAAGCTGACTCATACAGTCGGAATAGACCTATGGCGTGCGCACGCGCGTTAGGCTCACATGAACGACACACCAACATACCCACCCTCTCACACAAATCCACCCGATTAGGTCGCTAACAAAGCGGTGGAAGTGCAGCCAATGGGAGTGTAGCAGAGCGATCGCAACGGGTAGACATATCGACCGTGGAACCCTGTTTAACCAGGAAGCGCACGTCCAGTTTGGACGGTTGAACACAGGCACATTGGAACACGTCGCCATAGCCCGTAGGGGTGCTTGAAGATATATAGGAAATGCGGTTAACTTACGCGACGGCAAATTCTTCGGATCCACTAAGTGTATGCAGATGTCATGTCACTAAGTTTACACGTCGACACCCTACAGAGTCGATAAGCCAGCGAGACAATCCAGGAGTTCAACCGGAACGGGATATTCACACTGACGAACTCCGAAATAGCCTTCAACAGCCCCTAACTGGGCGCACATATCCAATTAGTTGGTTCTTAAGAAAAGGGACCTACTTAAAACAAGGTATTACGCCACCGAGTCGGACAACCTCCAGGTGGGGCCAACACGGGCATCCGCATGCAGCACAACAAAGCTCCGATTAGTAACTGAACTAATAATTTACGTACATCGACTTGATACCTAAATACTGCAGGACTATTCCCTTGTGAGTTATCTGCTTAACTGACTGAGCAAACGGGACTGTTTCGGTGTCATCGAAACAGAGGTCTTAGACTTTCAGCGGCAACACTTAGGCAAGCTTTCAAAGAAGCAACAGATCTACTCTAACGTATCACTCCGAGGCTGGTATATATATATATATATATATATATATATATATATAACGTTGCATCATGACTGGCACCTGTTCGACATTGCAGTGAAGCCCCCGAAAGAAGAGCAGTGTCTGATACGAACACCTCGATATGGAATGGCCTATGCACTATTCGACGAGTATGATTCTCCGAACGAACACAGGAAAGCTAATTCGGCAACTATCTGAACGCAGCAGCAGAGTATATGGACATTAGTGTACTTACTATTTACATGGCAAAACAAGCAATTACACACGAACGACGCCAAGTCATAACAATTAAAGATAATAAAAAATAGTTTCAGAATGGGAAATGCAATCGTGATTATGATGGTGGTTGTGAGGATAAGGGACGGCGGTCCACGGATAGACTACGTGATGAAAATGTACACACGTCATGACCAGAATGCAAATTAGAAATTAATTCGTGTAGCGGTCGTCCGGGTGCTGAAACATGCGGTGAGTTCAATGAAGTGGACGAGAAGAGGTGTTATGTTAACAACTTGGTAAGTATGAAAGAGTAGGAATGGATCATCAGGGAAAGAAACTGGGGTCTTGACTTGTAAACTAGTTGATGTTATGACGGCGACCAGCAATGGTGATCGGAAACACAAGGAACCAAAAATATGAGGGAGCAAAAAAGTTTGCTTAGCAAAAAATTGACACGACCCATGGTTGCATGTTTGAATGTGACGAAGGCAAAAAGAACACCAAAAGCAAATAGAGTATAAAATACGAAAAACCAATTGGGTGTATGCATATCAAAACTAGTAAAAATTGGCTGTTACTACGAAAAACCCGTAGAAACACCAGTGATTTGAGGTGGGAACATAATGAATAGCTCGAATAGTGATGTTACTCAGTCGAAAGGTGTGAACAATGCTCGCACACTGGCATTATGATATGGTTCGTTGAGGATTGGGGTGTTGAAGGTGGGTGGGATAAAAGCGTCATTTGATCTACGTGAAACCTGATCCAAGGTCGGCAGGCACAATGTAGAAAACAGTTGTACAAAAATGAGGTTGTCATTGCCATGAAAAAAGCGGAAAGTATGACAGAACCCTCTCAATCGTGGGGGAACATTTTGGAATATTAGCTGGTAGTGAAATAAATGTGTTCAAAAAAGTGGTCAGGACCGTTTTGGTTAAATATCAAAAATAACAACCATACAGGTGCTCGAAAAACGTTGCTACAAACACCCTAGATACAACAAAACACAGCCAGAAAAACAGCGCACCTCAGACAGATGGTTTAGACGATGATAAGGTGTGCTCAACGAGAGTAGTGCTAGAAATATGAATAAGTGGACACCAGCTGCACAGGAATGACCGGTTTCGAAAGGCTGGACAGAATAAGTAAAGCATGCACCATAGCATAGTACGTCCTATTAATTTTCAGGAGTTAAACTGGTCGGCATATCGTGTTATTAGGAGGCGCTATGCGAATTCCCTGGTGAAGGCAGGATGAAGGAGCGCACCGATACAAATCGGAACGAGCTAATAAATGCAGTTTACAACAATAGGCGTTGAAGGGGGGCGGGATGGATAAATAAGTGGACACCAGCTGCACAGGAATGACCGGTTTCGAAAGGCTGGACAGAATAAGTAAAGCATGCACCATAGCATAGTACGTCCTATTAATTTTCAGGAGTTAAACTGGTCGGCATATCGTGTTATTAGGAGGCGCTATGCGAATTCCCTGGTGAAGGCAGGATGAAGGAGCGCACCGATACAAATCGGAACGAGCTAATAAATGCAGTTTACAACAATAGGCGTTGAAGGGGGCGGGGATGGATAAATGCGCCAGGTGACGGATAGAACTAGTCTTCAAACGGCTGAAGTCTGAAAGCTATCAGGAGTGACGATGTCAAGATAACGCAGCTACTGAACGATATAAAAATCAGGAATTTTCAGTAGCTAAACTAGATTGCTCGCATCAGCTGTTTTCGGCTTGTGCATAAGGGTAGACGGGATACGAGCTCCCTGCATAATCCCCAACAACTGATCCAATGCTGCCCGACGACGCATACCAGCTGCATGCAGTTCAGTCGCCAGATGGGTAACCATATCGGTCAATTTCATGTGGATAGTCTCCTCATCTCGTAAACGCTCAACAACGCCGGCTAGTTCGCTTCCAGGTGGGAGTCGATTCAGCTGCTGGGCTGAGTCAGATAGGGAGGCCGAAACCACGGGCAAAATCAGCTGATTATTCTCCACGGCTGCAAGTCCGTTGAGCAGGGAGGAAGCCAGAGATACGGCCTGCGAAGTATCACTCACATGCAGACCGTTTCCGTTAACGGTAGAGGTGTTGGAAGCGAATTTGTTCGGTGTGCTTGCGGCTGGACGTAGCTGTTCTCGTTGTTGAGGAAGATCGTCATCACGCGCTCGTTGCTGTTGTAATAACAAGTCATTAAACAATTGGGATTGAACCAGAAGGGCTGCTGCGGCAGGGTTGAAAATAAATGGGAATCCGGTGCTGTTGGAATTAGCATTGGGGTCAGTATGAAATTCATGCGCATCATTGTCAGAACTCATGTTCGTAAACAGAGCCGTGCCCGGAATGCTAGGTTCACTAAGCTCTCGATCATGTTTGTACTTGTTTCCGTTTGGAGTTATGGAGTGGAAACCGGGAGTAAGAGATTGGGGGGTGCAAGATCCCGTGAAGCCAAAACGAGGCGAATCTGGAGCATGTAGGGCTGAAGGCATGGTTACTTTGCAGTTCAAAGTTCCTAAACCTACAGGAGTGGCAGGAGCGGATTTACCACCGTTACGATCTCCCGCTACCTGCATGGTTGTTGCATCAATATTGGGGTAAATGACTAAAATGAGTCGGGCAACGCGCCTGAGGATGTCCGCATTCCTGACTGCCTTTTGGGGATTATTGACAAGGAGACGTACGTCACGACGAAGGTTTTTCCATTTGTTATAGCAGTGCTCCATAGTGAACCCGAGTGTCTCCATTTCTGCCCCGATTGTTTGCCAAACCTGCTTGTGCTTCTTCTGAACATTAAATTCGTCCAGATGCTTTTCGACACAGTCCAACAAAGTCTGCACGTTTTGATTAGACCAATGTACTTTCTTATCCGAAGAATCAGTAGGATTTCTTGGACTGTCAGCTGTGTGATGAAAGGAGCGAGACTGGCCTAGATCGTCATCATCAGCTTCAACCAACATAGTGACATCAGCCGGGTGTTCCTGGTCATCACTACCATTGTTCGCATTGCAAGATGTAAACTTTAACGACGGAATGTCAATAGGATCATCGTCCTCGTCCTCAATGTCTTCCGGGAAACTCGGGCTGGATTTTGCGGGGCTCTTCGATGAGTATGTTAAATGGTCCATCATCTGGAAGGAAGATAAGAGCAATATAGGATCTATGATATCTGGTCTCACAGTCACAACCAAAAAGACCGTACATTATCCGCCGTCGAGAAATGCCCTCAACCATCATCAGCTGTAAGAACCGCGTACTTGTACAGTGGTTTCGTCCACCGATGATTTGAATACGTTCACATCACCTGCCGGTGAGGTAGGTAGCTGTGCATTGGAGGCACTGTCAGTGGACTGTTAAGTGGGCGAATTTAGAAGTAAGCTGTGCATTGAGGGCAGTAGCTTGGATGCACAAGCGCCACTGAGGGCGCGACTGGGCCACGCCTGACAACGCCTCGAATCACTGGTGTGGCACGTCTCGGGGTCCCCATCCAGGAAGACGGCAATGAACAGCGCAGCTGAGTTTGCTGGTAACCGCTTTTATACTTCACTACCAAGTCATTGTTTGACCGCCTCTGACTCTCTTCCACCCTTCACCTGGTTGTGCGAAAAGAACCCTTCGAGGAAGTGGGTCGACTAGCATACGCAGCACGTGGCCAAGCCAGCGCAACCTATGCAGTGTGTGAGTTATTTTTTCCGAATACCATTCGATGTACTTCGGCATTGCTTATCCGGTGTTCCCACCAGATTCGGACAATGCTCCGAAGACATCGATGGTCAAACACTGAAAGTCTTTTGACGTCGTCGGGGCGCAGCGGCCAGGTTTCTGATCCGCATAGTAATACGGAACGTACGGCAGAATTGTAAACTCGACCCTTGAGGGATGCCACGCCTACAACACAGGTGACGCAGGTTCATGAAAGCTTCTCTGGCCTTCCCAATCCGGATGACAATTTAATCTTTCGAGAGACCACAGGAACTGATACAGCTGTCCAAGTAAACAAATGTGTCTACTACCTTAATCGGTGCATCCGCAAGCATGAGGCTAGGGTTCGAGCCCACCCAGTCTTGCAGTAGCACTTTACACTTTGCAGGTGTAAAGCGCATGCCGAACCGTGAGGCAGAATCATTTAGACTGTCTAATATTGTTTGTATCACCACGGGGTACGATGCAAGAAGAGCTACGTCGTGTGCGCACTCGATATCTGTGAGCGGACGCCTAGGAAGCACTTCGACCTCACAGGCCTTAGAGGCTGGTAGTGAGTCTTCCGTGACGAAGTTGAAAAGGAAAGGTGAAAGAGGACAGTCCTGTCTGACACCACTTGATGTGTTGAACCCCGGAGAGAGCTTCCTGTAGAACTTCATATGGCCACGGCAGTTGGCCTTAAAGAGGGTCAGGAATTTATGGACGACACTTTTGCTTCACAGACACTGCCATAGTGCCTGACGGTTCACAGAGTCAAAGGCAGTTTTCATATCAAGAAACACAACCATTGTTGGCTGCTGGAAGCAGCGTCGCTGTTCCAGAGCCTTTCGGAGGGGCCCTCAACCGTAGTTGGATGTAAAGGAGAGAGAAAACAAGCCACGACTGAAGTATTTCTTAAAGCTTCACATGATAGTAAACGCCCCCATAACTCACGTTAACGAACACAAACACCTGCAGATTAGCCATCAAACCACGACACCCGGTTTGTTCAGTTGAGTTTATTGTTAATGTGTTCCACTTGTACTGACTTACTAACCATCCAAACTTACGTGTCTTGTGCCTGGAACAGAGACCTACGACAAAACTTTGGGTTGTGCCCTTCTAGTGACGCTAGGTTTCGTGGGGTAAGTACAGTGTTGCCATCGGCCACAAGCAATTCTGGCTGAATACCAGAATCTGCGAGTCGCTTGGAGACATCTTGGCAAGAACGAAGGGCATACATACTATATTATATTGGACTAGAGTACCACTACGGTATACGATAACGTGAGGAACTAAGTAGACGAACCAGGGAATGCCGCAGCAATGCTGGCGAACCCTCTTATAGTGC